GATTATATTTTTCATTCTCGTTTGACAATAAGGTGGCTCAAACAGGGCCTTAAAATAATCAATGACCTCAGTTTTTACACATCATTCATGATGTACAAAAGTGATGTACAAGTAGTTTAATTCCAAAACTAAAGAACCATTTGTGCCAGAAATCGAAAGGTTTGGGATCATTTGCGCCACATTTGAAATGTTTGGACCAAAAATCCTATATAATTAAAGGTTTGGGACCATTTGTGTCTCTATCCCTAAATAAAAAGAAAAGCTCGAGAGGGCTACATAAAGAAGGCCTAGCTCTAGCAAGAATTGTACAAAATAAAAGAAACTCCAAGTTGGGAAAATAAAGGGGATTTTTCCTAGGTGCTTTGGGAGTTTTGAGTGTGTACACAGTTTTTCAAATATTGTAATCTCTATCTTTGTCAATTTGTAATTTTTCTCCAATTTTAAAATTTCCACGTAAACCTCATTGTCGGTGATATTCTCTGTTTTTAGTTTTTTAATTCTTCTTGATATTTTGCACAAAATCTTGGCTGTGAATCCGACATCATTAAAATCCAAAGAGCGCTCTAGTGAGTGCGACTGCGACCTACAATGGATAAACCAATACAATGTAGCACCTACTTTAGCCCCTATTCGACAAGGAAAAAATCTAGATTTTAATTTAAACACTTAGCTAAACTCTATCTTTAAAAAATAAATAAAAAATACATTATTGAATAGTGTTTTGACCTCATTTCAACCACACGTTCTTTAATAAAATAATATTATACGTAAATAAAAAAATTCTTTAGTTTTTAACCACGCATTTTTCATCAATACACTATTCAAAAATGTGTTTTTTTTTTTTTTTGACAAAAACGAGGTTCAAACAAGCTCTAAAGTCAAAGTCAACACTTAATTTGAACCGCATATTTCATGAGATCCGTAACTTTTCAACAACACATTTATCAATTTTTATTAAAATCTCATAAAAATCTTATTTTAATTCCCACCAATCACAGACTTAATATCAAGCAATCATTTACTATAATTTTATTGGATTTTCAACGCAATATATTAACTGATTTATAGAAGTGGAATCAGTCAACACAACCATCCAAATGGTAGTCGAGCTGACTGACTTTTCAAAGATAATAAACTCCATTTAAAGATATTAAATTTTAATTATGGACACAGTAGCCTATAGGTAGGTGGCTAGATATGTATAGCTATTGGCCATTGAAAAAGAGCCATCAATGGCGGGGCAACCGGTCAGGGAGTTTTAGTCTTAGAAGAAAGGAATTGATGATATTCTATGGCACTTGTCAAGGATAAAGATTTTTTTATTAATCTTTATTTTTATTTTGTCCATTATGGGGATGGAATCCCTCTAGAAACCTTGTAATTCCTGTTATATATGGAATCCCTCTAGAAACCTTGTAATTCCTGTTATATATATATATATATATATATTCCTTTTTTCTTTTTTTTTTTTTAA